CTCGGTCCCTCCTCGCGCAAACTTTGCCGCAACAGTTCAAATATGCTGACCGTTAGGGGGCGCATATGTTATTTGGGACAGCGGGCAGATGAACAAGGGGGAGGGGGGATTTAACTATTTAAATAAGGTGACGGGTGGGGCACGTTAGGGTTAGGTATCCGGCACGGGAGCGCGGCGGCGGGGCGGGTGGCCCAGCCCGGGCCTGGCAGGCGCGCGGCGAGGCGAATGGCGGCAGCACGGGAGCACGGCGGCGGGGCGGGTGGCCTAGCCCTGGCCTGGCAGGCGCGCGACCGCTTCGTCTCTGAACTCGCCACATGCTCGCTATCCTACGCGGCTGCGGCTCGGCATCCCGCCGCTGGAACAGCCCATACGCTCGACAGCTGTCTATAAATTGGAATGTGTCGGCAGCAGAGGTGTGTAAATTCTCCACCGCCGCGGCGTAGCCCCGCCGCCTTCAGGACGAAATAAGACGAAACGGAGAGAGGAAATTGGAAATTTACTATCGGACTGGAAAGCAACGCAACACATTGCTCCGTTGGTCCGGGATGCGAGGCAGCGCGGTTCAAGCAAGGACCCGCGAGATGGAAACGTCATGATTACAATGCGCTGGCATGATGGAAATATAAAGATAATCATTCGGTAAATTAAAAACGTCAGCGGGAAATAAACCAGCGGAGAGAGAGAAAAGGGGAGGGGTGCAGAAGTGGGATGCTGTAGGTTGGGCTAAAAGGGGGCGGGGGTGGGGAGCGGGCGGCGGCTTTGGGCTGAGCGCACGTAGAGTGGAAGAGAGAGCTTTGATTGATGACCAGATTTTCGTGCTGATTGCAATTTTCCACGCAGTGGGCTTGGCAGCTTGGACCAAACAACAAAAGCACAAGCCCCACACGGGCCGCCTTGCTGCGCACATCCCTAACTTAAGCTCATCTGAGCCTGACAGCCGAGGTGATTACAATTGTAATGATGAGCAGTAACACAAGTACACGTCTATGCTAATGATTTAGTTTAATTTTCCTATTTCTTTGTTTTCTAAATTTTTAATGTTGGACTAAGGTTTCACACAACAACTTATGTCCATGTTTCTGGCTCAGGGGTTGGCTTGTTCTTGCCCGTCCTATATGCCCCAATGCCCCACCCGTCTCGCTCGTTTTACAAACCGCTGGCGGCATGAGATGCCGTACAACTTTCCGATTTTTGGGGGGGCCTTTTCGCTCGCAGCGGCTGGAGCAGCAGACCCGGCCGTATTTTATGTGGCGCCGCGGAGATACTCCTCTGGACCGGAAGTGCACAAATTGGGGAGTGTATCGGCACACGTTAGAAGCTGCGAACGTGGCGATTTCAGTCGCTGGGCTTTTTCTTCTCGCTCTACGCCATTTGTCTCCCACCCCGTCTCCACCCCATTTTTGTCGCACGCCTAGGCTGCTTGCAGTATTCCAGGAGGACGGCAAAGAGAAGAAAAATAGACTGTGGTAATCAATATAACGTTTGGAATATGTGCTGAGGCGGCAGAGCATTGATAGCAATGAAGATCTGTGGGTCTGAGATAACGAGCTCGATTTATCATCTCTCCGCAATGCTGTCCGCCGCCTTTGCCAGGGCACCTCTTGCTCGATTACACACTCTTACTTTACTAACATGGCATATTGTGTTTTCTTTTTTGCTTTTGAATTATTTATTTTTTTACTTCTTCTTCTTCTTATTTGAATTGGTTGACACTAAATGTGCAATAGTGTAATGCGATCAGTTTCCAAGCTGGCTAAGATCGCTGCTCGGCTTGCCATGTGTAGTTCCACTAGGTCCCGTCAATAAGTCTGTCCGTCAAAAATGATTAGCGAAGACAGTCTAATCGTTCTCTTATTTACCTCACGTCCAAGTAGTAACGTAACTTCTGAAATGCGATAATCTTATGTTCTGCAGTACATTGAAACTTAATAATAATAATTTACGCCAATGTTACTTGCTACATTCCTCAGTAAAAATCGCTCAGTGAAGACTGCTGCACAGGCTAGTGGTCTCTGATTCCATCTTTTCCCTGCCAGTCTGCCGTCCTCACCTCACCGCTCATCCCTTCTATTGAGTGTAAACAGGGACTGTCCAGCAGTTGTCTTGAACGATGCTCTCTATCTCTCTTTTAGCCAACAATCATGTACCTTTATTTTGATTACGATGTCCTGTCTCGTTTTTCACAGACGTACCTGAAACCAAGCTGGTGCTGGGGAAGTCCCTCAACCCGGACAACATTCGCGAAAGCAGCGACGTTTACTACGACTGCTTAGTGGACGCAAACCCTCCTATCTACAAGGTGGAGTGGCGGCACAATGTGAGTATTAAATAATCGCATGTAACGAATAACGTTAGACAGTTTGTAAAGACAAGTCTCTCTTGGAGCGGAGACGTTGTAGCTTGAAAACTGACTGAGGCATGGCCCAAGCACGGATAACAAGGGTCAAAAACATTGCCAAAAATTAAAATTTATAGAATTTTGGTTTTGTGTTTTATGGGATAACCCGAAAACGAAGAATCTTGAGGTCTACATTTCGTCTGATTTGCTGTAAAAGATCTGCTGTTAAGGCGCGTTGACCCTAAAGTAGCAAAAAGTCATTGAATGTCTCGAATCAAACAATGAAAGAGAACCTACCACCCTAAAATCATACACTTTGAGTCAGAATATCGTCTCATTTGGTCAAGGGCCAGTACAACCTTGGCAAATCACAAAAATAACACATATTGCAGACGTGAAATTTCACCTAGATGGGGGATCGACGGCCCGTTTTCTTTATTTGTATCACGTCCGAACGGGTGTCGGCGCTTCAGGCCAAGGTAGATGTGCGTCAGGCAGCGTAACAGTGCGTCAAATGTCACGAAGCCTGTTACGCTAGACGTTATTTGGCGTACAACAACCTTTCTACCCTTATAACTCCGAGTGCATATCGGAGGGACTTGCTCTTTCATGACGTGACGGTGACGTCCACGTCCCGTGCGAGTCAAGCTGCCAGGAAGGAAGGTCGTTGGACGGACTCGACCTAATTCAACCAGCTTATCCGTCTGCTCGGAAACGAAATCCCGCGGAAACCTCTAAGAGCAGAGAATAAGGCAGCAGGAGGCATTTGGCCGGATTGGGTGTACGCTGCCTGGTTTTGGGAGAGCGACGGGAGAGGTGAAAGGGGTGGGGTCGGGGGGGATACCGGAACAGGGGTCGGGGAGAGGTGGAGGGAAAGGGCTGATGGTTACGTAGATAAGCTTACACGGGAAGCGTTTCACATTATCTCCCATTCATTAGCCGAGACAGTAAATTCGACGGCGAAGCCTCAGGGAGTAAGAGAGGGAGAGAGGGGGGGGGGCAAGAGATTAAGAGGGAGCGAGAGGGACTGGGAGAGAGGCAGAGAGCAGCAAGGTGAGAGCAGGAAGCAGGGGAGCGGGATAGTGTGGATGGTCGCGGTAATTGGGAGGAGCCAATGGCGGGCGCGCTGCACCCAGAGTGCTGCTCCGCGGAAGGAATCCGGCCGCCAAGCCAAAGCCACAAGACAGGGTTACAACGGCGCGCCTTGAGAGCTTTCGCTGGTTTCATTGTGGGGTCCGTCTGGCGGCTGCCGGCATGCGGCCTTGTGACTGACGTGGTGCGTTTGCGCTTCTCGATTCGAGCGAAAGGCGCCGTTTCCCTTAATGGCCTCTGGGAATTATTGAGAGGGGGCTCTTCCTCCAGGTTGCACGATACCGTAACGTATTATTCCGTTATTTTAGTTTGTATCGTTGTGAAACGAAAGATTTCGTTATTCTATTTTTGTGCTATAATGCATATCTTGAACTGAAAAGCGTTAATCGTTACATTTGGGTTCATTGCAAAGCTCCGATGGTTCTCTCTATAGGACTGTTCAGGACAGTCGTCGGACAGTTTTCGGTTGTGTTGGTGTAATTTATTGGTGTGTGACAAGTTCTGTGACGGGGGCTTTACGTGCGTTTCTTATTGAAATGTTAGTGTGCCCATTGACAGTTGCCCCCTCCCTACCCCCACTCCGCCGCGCCACGCCTCTCCGCGAGTCGCGCGTAAATAACAGTAAGTAGTGTTTGCAGAATGAGCGATGGACAGCCGCGCGCCACTAGTGCTTGTGCCCCGACACCACGCCAGGCCTCGCCGGAAGGAAGCAGGAAAGAGGAGGTGGCGGAGGGGTCAGCCCGTCCCGGCCGGCCCAGAGTGGGGGAGGCACGCACGGGAGAGAGAGGACACAGGTGAGGAGGGGGGGGGCGCAATGTCATACATTGTCGCACAGTACGGCCGGCATTGTTGGCGCTGAGTTATCGCGGGACAACAATAGGACCGCTGATGGAGTGCTGGACGGACAGGGGAGGAACGGGATGGGGAGAGGGTAGTCGAAAGGGGAGGGGGGCTTTTCGGCGCAAGGGAAGAGGAAAACTGGGGGGGAGATGAAAGGGGAGTAGGACACGTTGCAGAGAACGAGAGAGAGAGGGGGGGGGGGAGTGAGTGGGGTGGGGTATAAAGTGCGTGGCAGAGGTTGTTGGTCCAGAGCAGCGGCTCGGCCCAGGCCCACCGCACACCGGCAGACCGCGGTGCGCTGCAGGCTGCTGTGCCGCTGTGCCCCTCTAATCCCGGAGTATGGTCAGGGGCCGCCCGGGCGGCCCGGAGCAGCCGTGTCCGTGCCCGGGCCTGGCCAAAATTGTGTCATTTAGGAGGTCTCCGCGCTTTGTCGACGTCGGGCAGCTCCCGCGCTAGCTCCGCGCCAGCAGCGCTTTTAATCATGGAAGTGGAGGGGGGAAGCGGAAGAACGATCCGCGCCCGCCGCGTAGACATGTTTGTTGGCAGCAGCGCGTCTACTTTTCCTTCCTTTTGATCCTTTAAAAGCACGTTGCGTATTCGACGGCGTGACAACACTGCAAACCCAACAGTTTTCTTAGCGCAGACAAGGAAGAGTCGACTTGCAAGAACACATCTACAAGTACTTCGAGGGGTGCCCAACTGTGGTAATCAGGTATACACTGAGTTGGTAATCACTGGTAATCTACACACTCTTCAGGCTCCTTTCAAAGGACAAATTTGTTGATTGAGACATGCATTTTTGTGCACATCTTGCCTAAATGCAAACACCCATGTTCAATATGATGTATTTGCATACCTCCCATGGACAAAAACATAATTTGTCTAATCGTAGAATGCAAGTTTGTAACTTGCAAGATAAAGAATTGAGAATTACCTAATGTGCACAATGCATCTTTCTCGGGACAAAAAATGGTTGTTTCGATTTGGAATGCAGGCGAATCATACCTAGTATTCATTGTTAATCATTTGTAATCTTTACAATTTGGTAATCCGGTGCACACATTTTTATGGAGTTGTGCACCCCTCCGGTGTACTTGCTTTACTACCCACATGGAAGGATATTTGCTATAGTGCACACCTAAAAGTAGCGTTAGGTACCTACCGTAAAGCACACATTCCCGTACTATGGCAAGTGCACTCCTCCTTGTATGGACTAAGTTAATGGGTGCAGTGAACTGCGGGGCATCTGACAGGGGAACTCCGCCAAGTGTAAATTCCTGATTTTCATTCTTCTAAATGTTATGAAACAAAAGTTGTAGAGAAATGGAAGCTCTTAACTTGTGTTTCATAACATTGTTTGTGGGACTGCTTTTTTCAACTGTTAAACTGAAACCCTAGTGCTAGTGATTCCCATACATTTCCCCCAAGTGACTCCTAAATATGAATTTGAGCACTTTTTCTTATTTGTCATTCGATGACACATTGAGACCAACAACTTCGCAAAGTAGACTGAAAATCGGGAATTTACACCTGACGCGTGTTCCGCTGTGAACGCGTTAACATCGCGTGAGCAAACGCAAATCATGTGCTCGTTTGATGGGACGTTTCGTCCGTGTGAACCTCTGATGAATTTACGTTGAACCACTAGGGACATCTCCTTCCAGGGATCCTGTGTCACGCTCGGCACGCTCGCTCGCACGCTCTGGCACCGGGAATAATACTCCGGTGGACTCTTTGGTGGGATGCGGCGTGGCGGGGTGGGGCGTGCCGCAGGTGGGGCAGGGCAACTTTGTCTGAGTGTGTTGCGCGCGTGGAGGAGGCATGCGATAGTAAGACGGGGGCTCAGGCTCAGGGTGCAAGGAGGTCCTCCCTCGGGGCCTCCCCTTTCCCCTCCACTCGGCCCTTTGTTGGGGGGCAACAATGGAAGGGGCCCGGAAACAATTAGCTTATCAGGATGAGTAGCCAAAGGGTGCGGGGGGAAGGGAGTCACCTGCTCTACCCCACACACCACAGCACGGCCCGTGTGCGTGTGTCTGTGTGTGTTGGGGTGTGGGCGTGCGTGTGTTGTTTTTGTTGTGTGCTCGCCCTGTGACATAGGCATAGTCTTACCTCTATAGAGTTTGCAAGAAAATGGCGCGGGCGCAAACTTGACGGGCCCAAAGCTGACGCCGTGGTTCAGTTGAATTAAGTTGATGGATTCTAGCACCCCCGCACCACCGCCCGGCCCAGCCCGCGACAGAGCACGCGCGAAGGGATGGCGGAGTACTCGCGGCGGGTGCTGCAAACGCACTGCCGGACCTCGCCGCGCTGCACGACACGCCCTGAAAGGAATGCTACCTGATACGGCCCGCAGCGGCGAGTCACCCGGAGCGCGCTCTACACAACGAGAGCTGGCTGCTGCTGCGCGGAGTTTCCTTCTCCTCTCCGTGCCTGTTTCTTTTTGCGGGCAAAGATGGAGAGAAGGGGG